AAGGAAGGAAGGAAGGAGGGAGGGAGGGAGGGAGGGAGGGAAGGAAGGAAGGAAGGAAGGAAGGAAGGAAGGAAGGCAGGCTGTGGGGTCCTCGGTGCTCTCTGAGCTGGGTGGTTTTCTTGCAGATGTTTCATGGCCCAACTAGGGAACATCGTCAAGGAAGGAAGGAAGGAGGGAGGGAGGGAGGGAGGGAGGGAAGGAAGGAAGGAAGGAAGGAAGGAAGGAAGGAAGGAAGGAAGGAAGGAAGGCTGTGGGGTCCTTGGTGCTCTCTGAGCTTGGTGGTTTTCTTGCAGATGTTTCATGAGCCAACTAGGGAACATCATCAGTGCTGGAAGGGTGGGGGGTTTGTAGAGAGGAGCAGGAGGAGCAGGAAGGAAAGCAGAAGGAGAAGAAGGGTTGAATATCTGCAGCTCAGGGTTCAACTGGGGAGTCTCCTTGGTGCTCTCTGAGCTTGGCTGTTTTCTTGCAGACATTTCATGACCTAACTAGGCAACATCATCAGTGGTGGGAGGAACTGAAGTTTGCAGAGGGAAGGAAGAGGAGGAGGAGGAGGAGGAGGAGGAGGAGGAAGGCTCTTTGGTGCTTTCAGAGTTTGGCGGTTTTCTTAGAGACATCTCGTTACCAAACGAGGTGACTTCATCAGGGCTAGAGTTAGGCCAAAGGCAGCCATCACTTAGAACCACAGCCAGGTTCCATCCCTCCTCCGAGATTCTCCTTTCCTCGCACCCTCCTCCCTCCAGCCAAAGGACCACCAAGCCCCCCGTCATTTCAACGCCCACCGGGGCCTCTTCCATCACACCGGCCTTTCCCTTCCTAGGAAGCGAGTAAATAAAGCAAACACGCCGAAAGCTCCGGATAAACAGCCCAGGCGCTCCACACCCTGCGTGGCCTCGCGGATCAAGGGGGCCACTGCGATTGAGCCGGAGGCTGCAGGAGCGCCGGGAGAGGAAGGCGTCGCAACGTCTCGGCGCTCCTCGGTGTGCCCCCTGTCCGAGCCCAACTCCCCCTCCTCTCTAAACAGCCCCCGAGAAAGCGGGTCTCCAGGTCGACCTCCTCCGAGGACGGGAAGCCTGCGAGGGTCCCGGAGGATCCCCCGAAAAGTTGGCGCATCCAGGAGGCCGCCGCGGCCTGCAGGGGAAGAGAAAGATGCGAGCGTCTTCCCCGCCGGAGCTGCCACGCCGCCGCCGGCGGAGAGAAAGGCGAGTGTACAGAGGCGGAGGTCGGGCGCTCTGCCCCCTCGCTCTCCCGGCCTCGGAAGCTTCTGGAGTCTCGGGGGGCGGAGGGCGGGGGGGCTAAGCGACCCACCGGTTGCTAATCCGGCTTCCTTCCCTGCCAGGAGGCTCTCGTGAAAGGGGGCGAAGACCGGAGGAAGCCCCAAGGGATGGGGAGGAAGAGGGGGCGCCCCAGCACACGGCCCGCCGCTTATGCTCCCCCGTTTCAGCCCAGCCTCGTCCCCTTCTCGTCCGTTTCCCCTTCCCGCCAGCCGCTCTGTCCCAGAGACGCCTCGGAAGAAACGCCAGGCACAAATGACCCCCCCACATTCTCTCACACAGAAGCAAAGTCCCACCCCCGTTTCTTGGAAGCAGATCTGAAGAGCGGCTCTCCCCACCGACCCTCGCCAAGAGCTCTTTGTCGGCAAAGCCCACCGGTCCCGACCCCTTCCGAACCATGCCACCTGCTCTAAAGAAGCCGAGGACGATCGGCGGTGGGCAAAAGGGCTCCCGGTCCTGAAACGGGGCATTCAACGAGCTTGCCTTGCCTGCGAGGCCGGGGAAATGGGAAAGACACCCCCCCCTTTTAATATTCTCACACAAAGAAGGGAAGAGCTGTTCAGAAGCCCGGGGAGGGGAGGGAGGGAGGGAGGGAGTTGGAGAGGACTGCCGAAAAATCGGGCGGGGACACCCAGCGCGCCCCCCCCCGCAAAAAGAGGAGCCTGGGCTGCTGATCCCCCCGAGGCAGTGCAGAGGGGCGAGGGTCGCTTGCCGCCCCCCATCAGCACCTGCTTCGTTCCTGGTGTGTCCTCCCCCACCCCCCCGCAAACTCCGCCTGGGGGGGGGCGCCTTGCAAGTGACCCCAGCAGCCCCCGGCCGCTCCCGAAGACAAAGCGAGAGAGGGGGGGGACGCTTCTCTCTCCCCCGCCCCCCTCCCGGTAACATGGCCCGCTCCCTCCCGGGCTGCACGACGGAGCCTCCTTCTCGGCTGCAGCTGGGACCCGAGATGCCGGACAACTGAGGGGACGGGCGGCCTGCCTTAGCCGACGGGGCGCGACCCCTCGATGAGGCACCGGGCGCGCGCCAGGCCAAGCCGTCTCCCGCGGCACCCGGGCGCTCCCGCCCGCGGGGAGCCGCCGACAGCTGAGCCCACCCGGGCCACGCCGATCACGGCACCCCCAGGGCTGGGAGGGCCCCTGGCAAGGAGCCCAGGCACGGGGGGAGGGGGTACCCCTGGGAATGGGGAGCCGGGCCCCGCGTGGCAGCCGGCCGGCCGAACGACCCTGGGGGGGGGAGACGGGAGACCCACCCCTTTCTTCCACAGCCCCCCCCCCGCTCCCCACTCACCGTTGCCCGAAATCTGGTTCTCCCACTGCGGGGGTCGCGAAGCGGCGCCGAGCTGCAGGTAAAGCCCCAGCGAGTGGCAGAGCGCCAGGGTCAGGCCGAAGGCGCCCCCCATCCTGCTCCCCTGCCTGGCTGCCTCTCACATCCGGGGGGGGCGCCGAGCCGAGCAGCTGCCGCCCGCGTCCCCAGCCCGCTCCGCCGCCGCCGCTGCCGCTGCCGCCTGCGCCTCCGCTCGCCAGCCCGAGACTGCGGGACTCTTCCCTACGGCGGAGGGCGCCGTCGTGCCGCGGCTGTCACTCTCTCACTCTCTCTCTCTCTCTCTCTCCCACGCGCGCGCGCGCCCCCGCTCTCTTGCGCGCCGGCGGAGGGATTCGGAAGAGAGCTTGATTGATCGCTAAAGTTTCTCCGAAGGGACCTTTTCAAAGCCCCGGAGGGCGGGCGAGGGCTAGGGAGGGGGGGGCTGGGGAGGGGGCTGCCTGCCTTCCATGGGCGGAGGGGGGGAAGCCTTGGATCGAGCAGGCGGGCAGCGCCTCCCCCTCCTCCCTTTTTAAAGGAGGGCGCGAGTGGGGTTTCCCAGCCTGCGGAGAGAGGTGGCTGAATCCGTCTCTCCCCTTTCCAGCAAGGGGAAGGGGAGGGGCTGCCCTCCTTTTTCTCCGCGTGGAGACCGGCTCAGTCCCTCCCGCGGGGTGGGGGTTGGGGGGGGGGGTTGGCAAGAGCCCAGCTTCCCTGGCCGCTGTTTTGCTGGCGCCCGCGGGCGCCGCTTTGAGTCTGGGGGTCCTTTGCTGGGCGCGCGCCCGGACACGAGCCTGGCTGAGTTGCGCGCCACCCCCGACTGCGCCCGGGCAGCCGTTAAGCGAAGCGCCTCCGCGGTCGCCCTTGCCACCCGGGACGGACTGGCCAGTTCAGCACCTCGACCGCGGACAGCGACCGGAGCCCGCTCGCTCGCTCCCAACGCCCGCCCGCCCGTATCGGGCCGGCTGCGTTCCCACGGCGGCTGCCGGACGCGTGACTGAACCCAGCAGCTCTCTTAGGACCGCAGGACAGGCCGAGCTGAGCACCGCCNGTCAGGAAATTCCTCCTCAGTTCTAAGTTGCTTCTCTCCTTGATTAGTTTCCATCTGCTGATCCTTGTCCTGCCTTCAGGGGCTTTGGAGAATAGGCAGACCCCCCCCACCTCTTCTTTGTGGCAGCCCCTCAAATATTGGAAGATGCTATCATGCCATCCCTGGTCCTTCTCTTCACTAGACTTGACATTCTCCGTTTCTTTCATCGGCTAAATGTAGGATTAACAGGAGGAGCATCCATGAAAAATCCAACTGAGGCGGCTGATCAACCAGGTCCCTTCTTTGGGGGGGGGGGGCCTTCGTCCGAATTCTCTAATCAGAGCCTCCTTGGACAGGAAGAGTCTCTCTGAGGAGCAACCAGGGAGGTCGGGGCCAGGCTGGCCTTTACAAGAAGCCTGCGGCGTGAGAAAGGATGGTTGAAGATCTTCACTTGGAGGGGAAAGAGGGGGAAGGGGAGGAAGAGGAGGAAGAAGAGGAGGGGAGGAAAAGGAAAAGGAGGAGGAGAAGAGTTATGTAGAAGGAGAAGGAAGAAAGATGGGAGACAGGTGAAGGAGAAGAAGGAAAAGGAGAAGGAGAGGAAGGAAGATGGGAGACAGGAGGAGGAGGAGGAGAAGTGGTATTTCACACAGTAAAACCCACCTGCTGGAAATTGGGCTGTTGGTTGAGGCGTGATTCGCACCCAAGTCCAGCGATCTGGAGGCCTAGAGGACCTCCGAAGAAGAGGGGAGGGGTCTCTGGCTTCCCTCGCCACCTTTGCCCACCAAGATCCTGCTCGACAGTCTGAAGATGCAACCTCGGATATTCTTTGCGGCATTTAATAAAGGAGGAACGGCTGTTTTACATAACCCTTCAGCCCGGCCGCCTCTTTGGAAGTCAAGTGCGCAGGGCTTTTCAGGGAGGGGGGGGCTGGAGGGAGGGGAGAGAGCAGCTGAGTTATTGACTGGGTGATTGACATCCTAAATGGAAGAGATCTCAGAGTGGGAGAAAAGAGATGTTTTTTTTTCCCTATTTAAATCCCCATTAAAAATTGGCTTTTCCTTTGGGTTGGAAATTTCCCTGCTCATTTGCTTTCTGTGCAATGAAAACACCAAGAAGGTTTTTCTGGGGCAGAGAAGAGGCGAAGTCCCTGAACTTCCATCCCAGGGTTTCATTTCAGCTGCTGCCCCCTTTCCTTCTTCTGACTTCTTTCCAAATGGATGGATGGATGGATAGATAGAGGGAGGGTCCAGGCAGATGGATGGTACACAGGGGAGATACGGATCCACGGATAGAGAGTGTATACTGTATGCAGTAATAGAGAGAGAGATTTATTTTTAAGCCATCCAGAGTCTCTGTTTCTGCTTCTCCTCCTCCATCTCCATCTCCATCTCCTCTTCCTCCCCTCCTCCTTCTCCTCCTTTTCCTCCTCCTCCTCCTCCTCCTCCTCCTCCTCCTCCTNTAAATAATTCTTTTTTTTTCCTAGAATGACATTTCCAGATGACTTCTGCTTTCAAGTCTATACAAAGCCTTTATAGAAGAAGGTTTTTTTTATCCTTCCCCCCTCAAGGCTAGTGACCATTTACATTTTCCATACTTAACCTGAATAACATAGTTAGGCTTGGAAGGTTAGTTGCATTTGATCTGGTGAGAACTTCAATACTACTGCAAAAAGAAAAACAACTGCATATATTTACTAGGAGTTTGGTTTTATTATTTTTAAATTTAAATTAAATTAAAAACCCAGAATGCTATTCTTCCCCAGGATCTTTTCTGTTTGGTGACAATTAAACAGAATCTTGCAAGGTAAGTCTTGATTAGGTCTGTGGCTCCTAGCAGATTAACCAGAAATCCTATGGCTGCTTTAGTTTTAAAAAAAAAAACTATTTAGTTAGACTATGGAATTAATTACTATAGCAAGTGAGGAAGGCAAGCAATTTAGGAGATTTTAGAAATCAGATTCATGGTTTGTAAGGCTCTCTATGTTTATCATATATCTTCCAGACAGAAAAAGAGGGAAACTGTGAGTTCAAATTCTGCTTTAACCATGAAAGCCAGCAGGGTAACTTTGGCCAATCACTCTCTCCCAGCCCAACCCATCTCTCAGGGTAGTTGTGGACAAAATAGAAGGAGAAAAGTGTGTTAGATATGCTCATCACCTTGAGTTATTTGTAAAAAATAATAGAGGTGGGACAAACAAACAAAATAGTTCTTGGGAATCAACAGTTAAAGAAGTTAATGCTATCATTTGTGAGCTTTTCAAATGCAATTGGTTGACCATTGTGTGATCGAAATGCAGGATTAGATCATTCCCGATCCCGAACAGCTGTTACATTTTTACAGGAATCTGAACTTAGTAAAATGAACAAACAAAGGAGTAGTTTTGTGATAATGCAGATTCTCAAACTGGATCACTGTTTGGCTTGGTGGCAGCAGTTGAAAAGATTATAGGAAGCTTGCTCCCTGTTATTCAGGATACTGCTTATAAGCACTTGTGCTTAGAGCTCAAAGCATTCTTAGAGACAGCACACACTCACTTCATGGTCTGTTTCTGTTGCTCCCCTCTGGGAGGAGGTTTCAAAGTATTTTTTAGCAGGACTACCAGATTCTGTTAACAGTTTTGTTCCTTATGCCATCCGTCTGGTAAACTCACAAGATATTTTTTTTCACTGTGTACAAGTGATATGCGGTGAAGTTTATGGCTGGTGAGGCAAAAAGAAAGAAAGTGGCTTTTGCCTGCCCCACAGCTATGTACGAAATAGAGGCATCTCGCACCCCGCAGCTATGTCCGGCCCAGCTGCGGGCCACAGGACGCCTCTATGTCAGACAGAAGCGGCGGGGTGCTTTCTTTTGGCTTTTGCCCGCCCTGCAGGGCAAACACTTCCACCTTGCAGGAGACTGAGCTGCAGGCCACCAGGAGTACATCCTCCCACAGCAGAAGAGTGCTGGTTCCTGCTTCAGAGGGATGCGTCCCGCTCTATGGTGGGCATGGCGGCAGGGCTTTAAAGTCCCGGTGCCACGCCAGCCATCGAGCAGGACACGTCCCGCTCTATGGTTGGTGCGGCAGCAGGGCTTTAAAAAATAAAAAATAAAGTGCCAGCCCGCGCGCCAGCAGAGGTGGGTAAAACACAAACACACACACACAAACAAACACACACACA